GACTCTCTTAATGGCCTGCTTGGAGAAGTGTCTGCTCAAGTCCTTTGCCCACTTTTTAATTGGGTTGCGTGTCTTCCTGGAATGGAGTCATATGAGTTCTTTATATATTTTGGAGATTAAACCGTTGTCTGAGGTATCATTGGCAAATATGTTATCCCATACGGTTGATTCTCTTTTCATTTTAATGCTGTTTTCTTTAGCCATGCAGAAGCTTTTTATTTTGATGAGATCCCATTTGTTTATTCTTTTCTTTATGTCCCTTGCTCTAGGAGACATATCAGTGAAAACATTGCTGTGTAGAATACCTGAGATTTACCTCTCTGTGTTCTCTTCTAGGACTTTTATGGTGTCACAACTTATTTTTAAGTCTCTTATCCACCTTGAATTTATTTTTGTGTATGGTGCAAGTTAGTCATTGAGTTTTTGTTTTGTTTTGTTTTGTTTTGTTTTGTTTTGTTTTGTTTTGTATGAAGCTATCCAGCTCTCCAAACACCATTTGTTGGAGAGGCTATTTTTGCTCCATTTTCTGCTGCTGCCCCCTTTGCAAATATTAATTGGCCATAGAGGCCTGGGTTTATTTCTGGGCTCTCTATTCTGTTGCATTGATCCATGTGTCTGTTCTTATGCCAGTACCAGGCTGTTTTGATTACAGTGGGCTTGTAACACAGTTTGATATCAGGTATTCTGATCCCTCCTGCTTTGCTCTTCTTTCTCAAAATTGCTGCAACTCTTTAGGGTGGTTTGTGGTTTCATGTAAATGTTTGAAGTGTTTGTTCTGTATCTGTAAAATATGCCATTGGGCCCTGACTGGCGTAGCTCAGTGGATTGAGCGCGCACTGGGAACCAAAGTGCCACAGGTTCGATTCCCAGTCAGGGCACATGCCTGGGTTGCAGGCCATGACCCCCACCACCAGCAACCACACATTGAATTTTCTCTCTCCCCCTCTCTCTCTCTCTTTCTCTCTCTCTCTCTCCCCCTTCCCTCTCTAAAAATAAATAAATAAAATCTTTAAAATATATATGCTGTTGGTACTTTAATAGGTATTGCACTGAATCTATAAGTTGCTTGGGTAGTATGCACATTTTGATGATGTTAATTCTTCTCATCCATGAACACGGTATATGTTTCCATTTATTTGTGTCTTCCTTAATTTCTTTCTTCAGTGGTGTGTAGTTTTCTGAGTACAGGTTTTTACCTCCTTGGTTAAGTTTTTTCCTAGGTATTTTATTTTTCTTGTTCCTATATCAAATGGGATTATTTTTCTGATTTCTGTTTCTGATATTTCATTGTTGGTATACAAAAATGTTATTGATTTCTGAATATTGACTTTCTTTCCCACTGCTTTGCCAAATTCCTTGATTAGGTTGAGCAGTGTTTTGGTAGAGTCTATAAGATTTTCTATGTACACTATCATGTCATCTGCAAACAATGACAGTTTTGCTTCCTCTTTTCCAATTCAAATGCCTTTTATTTCCTTTTCTTTTTGTCTGATTGCTGTGGCTAGGACTTCCAATGCTATGTTGAAATACAAGTGGTGAAAGTGAAACAACCTTTCCTGATCTTTGCGGGAAAGTTTTGAGCTTTTGCCCATTGAGTATGATGTTGGCTGTAGGTCTCTCATATATGGCCTTTATTATGTTGAGGAATGCTCCCTCTATTCCCACTTTGTTGAGTGTTTTTTATCATCAATGGGTGCTGTTTCTTATCAAATGTTTTTTTTCTGTATCTACTGATATGATGATGTGATTTTGGTCTTTGCTTTTGTTTATGTGATGTATTACGTTTATTGATTTGTGAATATTGTACCATCCCAAAGGATAGTATTTTTTAAATGGGAGAAGGAACTCGGGGTGCACCCTGTCTCCATCTGGCAGTGTGTGGTGGGGTTTTCTCTGGGTGCTCTAGAGGAAATAGGCCCTGAGGTGGAAGCTTGTCATTCTTTCAACATTGTGCAGCTTTTGAATAAATGACCTCTTTCCATTTTCACCAAACCTCTGTCTCTAGATTTTTACCTAGAGGGTGGTGGCATGCTGCAGAACCCCTGTTAATATTCACTGACATTTCTTCTTTGAGAATCATTTTTTCTTTAGGGAGATGTAGCAAAAAGTCACAAAAATGCGTGGGATGTGAGTGAGCTTCTCCATTTCATGTTTTTCACTGTGGGGACATTTTCTTAATACATTTATAGGTGCCTTTCTTCCCACCACATTCACTCTCATTTCTCAATTTTTTAGTTGGACTTGTTTTTCTTTTCTCTCATATTCCTGTCGTTTATATAAATGAAACCAGGCAAGCTGGCATCATGCTGCCTGTCACCTACCAGTCCCCAAAACAGAGACAGTGATTGAATCTCTATGGGCAGATGCCAATGAACTGAGAAGATGGTAAGTTTGTACCCTAACAGACCACATGAAATTCCATTTTCAAGCAACCCTTTTAATAAGAAGAAGAAAAGTATAATTAAATGGATTGGAATTCAGGGGGAAATTTCATGCAATAAAAGCTGCAGCATTTTGTCATCTGTGTCCTGAGCAGTGGGCATCTCACCCTGGAGCACAGTGCTCAGATACCATCTTCATTGCTTGCAGTCCTCCTGAGGCACAATAGTGCAACTCCATATGGTTTCCTGGGGTCAGGGTGGGTCCTCCCTTCAGTTCCTATAATCAATAACTTTTGACATATGTTGATTATTAAGCTTATTAACTATCATCTCAAACTAAGATTTTTCCAAGTTTTGAGTCTCGTATCATATATACTTGTACATACCTTTGCTGCAACATTTTTCTTTGTCTTCCAAATCCATTATGACATTTTTCTGCTGTCATATTTTTAACCTTTCCAGAAGACTTTGTTTTACCATGAGACAAGAACAAATAGATCATTGTAATATGATCTTTCTGAAGACCCACGAGAGAAAGTCCTGTCTGGACCAGAGAACTTGGAACAGACATAAAGGTATATGTGCTATGGGGTAAAGGGCAGAAAACTGTACTTTAACAACAATCAAAATTTTAAAAAAGAAAAAAAGAAAAAGGGAGTATGTGTTGATTAAGATCTTCCTTGGCTCTCTCTTCCTTGCCTCAACTCTCTAGGCCAAGGTCGAGAGACAAGGGCGAGAAGCCAGGTGAGGTTGAGAGGCAAGTTGATGGCCCTCAACTGCCATAACCCTGCCAACATCATCTGAAAAGGTGAAAGAGAATATAGAAACTTTATGCAGGGGAAGTATTTGGCTTGCATACCAGAAAACCTGACACTACAAGATTGAAATCATGGTTTTTAAGCAACATCCACAGCAGTGACTGGCCCACATCCTTTGAAAGGTGTCTCACAGGTGTTCGCTGTCCTTTCAAGATTCAAGATTGACAAGCAGCAATTGATTGCCTTCTTGGGTTAGCTGTTAGACTTGAATATGGACATAATGCTGAAAAATACAAAGACTTGGTATCTGAAAATACAAAATAGACAGATAGTGCAACTAAAAATGTTCAACCACTCATCATTTTGCATGTAGATACTTCTGATTTTAAGGCTGGCACAACGACGTTGGCTGACCTTCAGACTCTAAGTCATCAAGATCACCTTGGAATGCTGAAGACCACATGCTGTTTGGTCCAGGGTCATCTGACACAGGTGGCAGTTACTAAAGCAAACCAGACAACAGAAGAGTTGATTGCCTGTTTCCTTACTGGAGCATAGCCTTAGTTTCACACAATAGATGAAGTACATGACAAAATCTGAGGTCAAATTCTGTGATTATTTCAACTAGAAGAGCTCAGGGAGATGTAGACCAGATTTACTGCAGCCATTGTAGCTATTCAGGCAGTTGCTGCCCATCCAAAGGCAGACCAGAGCCTTGGGAAAGCTGGAAGGTGAACGTTTTAGGATTCCAGCCTCTCACCAACCCAGCACAATTGGGAACCATGTATGCCCTGGCATGTGTTTACAAATCAAAACTCACACTTGCAAGGAAAGTATCCCAGAAAATTCACTATGTTCTACAGATTTACCATCATTGCCTTTTCTTTAATAAACATTGGGAAAGTTCTTTCTTCTCTTCTCGTCTCTCACCATCTTTATGCCCTAATATGTCAGAAATGAAGGTTAGTGTCTGTGAGACAAAAGGTGGAATTAGAGCAGAGAGAAGAAGAAGAAGTGTTTGTTTGGACCCAAGGTGACATTTGAGTATCACACAGGCTTGAATATGCTAATTTCTGAGTGAAGACATGAGTCTCATGTCATCGAAGTGGAGTGCCACTGAGCATTTGCGTGAAGTAAGTTTGTATGACAAAGCAGGGCTTTGGGTTCTGAACACTGACCCTGTCACAGGGTGTAAGATGGTTTGAGGAGCAGAGTTGAGGCAGAGAGGATAACATGTGTCCCAAGGAAGAGTTAGGATGCTTGTTTGTGGGGCTTTAAGGAGGATTGAAGGGAGGAAGAGTTGCCAAGGGTGGTGAGCAATGTGAGTGTGCAGAGAGCAAAGAGATCCCTGAAGGCTGAGCCCTGAGATTCACTACAAAGTGAGAAGTAGACAGAAAACAAATTATCCTGGACCCTTCCAGCATGGAAACATGGAAAGGGGTGAGGCACAGGCAGGCTGTTTGAGTTTCTCACAGGGATGAAATGGCAGTGGGGATGCTGGTTGGGAACATTGCGACTGCTCAGGGAGGCAGCAGTTCCCTTAGCAAAGCCCAGGGGTGGGACCCTTTTGGGGTGCTTTTGACCCCTCACCCCCTTTTTTCTCCTGTCCCTGTGCATCTGTGCAGGAATGTGGGATGGCTCCTAAGCCAGCAGTCTCTCTGGGATCCCTCCCTCAGGCCACCGTGGTCACTGGATGATGTGTCTCTAGAATGTACTATGGTCACCACCTAATGGCCACTTCATGACAAGAACCACCCCAACTCCAGGGAGAGACTGTTGGACAAAAACAAGACAGGGAGAGAAGTGCAAGGCAAGTACTTTATTGAAGCAAGACATTGAAACCTTCACATTTTGCAGGGGTGATCAGGCCATCCTTGAATGACAGAGGCGCTCGTGTGCAAGATTTTTAAAGTCTACTTGTTACATTGGGACTGTATACTTTTCTGAAATAGAGAGAGAGAGAGAGAGACAGGGGACATCAGTCATGCTTCCCCTGGAGATGACACGTTCACAGGGACTTCTGTTCACATCAATGTGTGAAGGACATCGCACCCAGCAAAGGCACATGGAGGCACGAGGCAGGAGAGCCAAGCGGGAGGGAATTCAATAGTCCTGGTGTACCCATCACAAACCATGTAGGACAGGGAAGGACACGTCCATAGCCTGACAAATAAACCCTGAGTGACCCAGGCATGGGACGTGGGTTTCAAATGGAGACAGGAGAGGGTCAAGGGTTGGGCTGAGCAGCTCAGGATTTCCTTCCTCCAAATCCCAGGTCCAAGGGCTTTACATTTTCACTGCAGAGTGGTTGCAGGGTGACAGAACAGGATGGGGAAGAGAGGGAACATGGGACATTCTGCTTGCAGGAGATGTCCTGTCTCCTGCATGGAGGTCAACCTGACAGCACATGGACATCCCCACACTGAGCATCCAGCCAGTATGGGAATTTGTGCCAAAACTCCTCATTCCAGGGGTGGACCAGCTGAGAAATTATCATAAATATCTGATTTCTTCCCCAACACATAAGAGAAGTGTCTCAACTCCAGGCAAGGCTGCAGAGGATGTAACAGGGAGGGTCTCTGCTCCCTGCTTGTGACAGGTGAGGGTTAGGAAAGTGGGGCAGAGGGACAGGGAAGGGCCAGTTCTGTGAGAGCTGGTGGAGCCCCCAGCCAGCCACACCTCTATCCTGACACAGGGTCTGGGCCAGCACCACCCCCATCCGCTGTCTCCCCTCCAATACTCCCTGCCCTCCATGACACTCCCCAGGCACTGTGCCAATGAGTGAGAGAGTTGGTTCTTCAACCTCTGAAACTTCCCAGGCAGGCAGGCAGCAGTCTCTGCCTTTCAGCATCACCACCTGGGTCCTGGTGGTCCTCCCCAGGACACTGTGGGTACACCTGCCCAAAGAGGTGACCCAAGAAGGAGGAACATACTACCCATACTCTGCATCTTTAGTCTAGCTCAACAGATGTCATGTCATCCACCCTGTGGCCCTGGGCCACTCTGTCTGAAGTGACAAGGGAAGCACGTGCCTCCTCACCCTGTGCCCACAGTGCAGCACCCTGATCTCCCTCCTGGTCATGCAGCTGAGCAGAAGCCCCTACACAAAAGGAGGAACCATTTACCGCAAAATTGTAAAGTTTTGCTCTGTCTTGGAAGGGCATAAGATCTACCCATTTCTTCACTTTCATCGCGGCCTCAATGAGTTCTCCAGGTGGAAAAAATTTTACAAGGTTGATCTTGTAGAACCCTTCAGGTTCCAAAAAGAAGCTTCTAACTTCAGCCATAAGAGCTGGACAGACTTTTGCATTTGCTGGAGCAGAAGAAGAAACACAATTGATTTAAGGAAGTCACTTTTTCCCTCATCGTCCCCTGACTTTAGAACTAGACAGGAACACCAGGGGCATTTATGGTCCCATCCCAGAATGGTGCCAATGACAATGGAATATCCTAGAGGTGGTGACTGCTCAAATCACAGAGCAGCAACAGGGCTGGTCCTAGAAAACAGGTTCACCGAGCCCCAGTCAGCGGTTCTCCTGTGTAGGTACATGTACGCGTTTCCAAAACTCTCCTGCTTTGCCGAAACTCACTTTCCCTGGCTTTCAGAAATGAAGGTTTTGCCTGTCCTTACAGTGACATGTTCTTTGGTCCTGGACATCAGGGGAGGAAAGCTCTTAGTGATCAGTCTTTCCAGTGGTGTGGGAGAGGAAGATCTCTCAGAGATTAGAGAAGAGGGACCAAGTCTGGAGAAGAGCAGGGATAATGATTGAATGTAGGAAGATGCTCTTGGGGAGTACATTAACAGTAGAATTATGTCATTGGGTGAAGACAGCTAAGAAACTTAGAAAGGAATCTGAGGCTTACACACCAATCAAAACTAGCTCTTCTCATCTGCACTGGATACAGAATTCCTTTGAGATGGGCGGAGATGACTACCGGGGCCTGCGTTAGGCTCCACAGGGATTGTGCTGAGACCTGAAGTCACCAATCTTCCTGGGCTGGATTCTCCATCCCCACCCCACACTCTGCCCCCATTTCTTTACAACCACCTGCAGCAGGGCATGTGCCCTCCTACTCTCCCATGTGACCTGTTCACACAGCCACTATTCAGAGACGGGGAGAGGTCAGATCAGAGGAAACATGGGGAAAGAGGAGGAGTTCAGAAAGTCAGAGAAAAGAGAGTCAAAGCACTTGGGTCAGAGGCAAGGGCATGACGACATAACAAAGTATTGTCAGATGAGTGGCTAGAAAACACCTAGAATCACAGCCACTATGGCCATAACACTGGACTGGTTCTTTTCAACCTGGGCAGACTCCCGGAAAAGGAGCAGGGTGTGTGCATGTGTTGAGTGTGGCTGCTTCTGACTGATTCCTGAGAGAGCCAGACCACACTGGCTCTTCTTGAACTGAGAACTCTCCTAAATCCCTCCCATCTTGAACATTCTATGAGTGTGAAAGGCAGCGTTTGAGAGCTGTGGGCTCAACTGACACCAAAGACTGTGTGAAGAGGACCAGCTGGTGAGACCCAGAGCTGGCTCCTGACACCCTTTGTTTCACTTTGTGGTCAGAGCTGCTCTTGCTGGTGGCAGTGGAAACCAAGGATGAGAGGAGGCTTGGGAGGATGAGCATTTGTTCAAGTCACGGCTCTGCTGAGTGGCCGGTGTGATGCACGACCAAATCTTATCTCGTCCTGCTGCTTCTGAACATAGACCCCAGATGGGGAGTGAGGCTTCAAATGAGAAACTCTTCAAAGTGGCCTGAAAGGGTTTTCTGGAAAGTTCCAGGGTGTTGGGAAATGATACAGGAGCCCTTGGCATTCAGGGGCCTACTCCACAAGTAGCAGGGCTGGTTTGGATTTTGGTTCATTCATGCCTCCTCCCCAAATAAGTTACCTACTTCAGAGAAGGTTACTTACCTGGTCTAGTGGTAGTCTGATTAGGAGTGATACTCACCCTCATAGCAGCAAAGGGCCAGAGTGACCAGCAGGACACACAGGGACAGTCTCATGGTTGATGTTGTGTTGAGTTCAGCTTTAGCAAACAATGAGCAGTTAGCAGCTGGACTCAGCAGCCTGGGGAGCCCAGGGCTATTTGTACCCAGTCAGCCTCACAGGTCCTGCCCACTCAGACGTGGCAGGACACAAGGCCTGGCCTCCAGCCCTCCCTTCCTCACTGAAGCTTGATGCCAACCATCATGGTCACAGCCCCGGAGACTTGGTCAACCACACACATTGCTGACACCTAGCACATCTCCTTTGTGGCAAAAAGCAAGCATGGAGTTTTACGAAACTATAATCAGTTGATTGGCATGTGTCCCAAAAGTTTAGCTTCTTAACTGGAGTTTCAGAAGTGTACAATCAGTTGATTGATGCGAGCCTCCTTAGAATTTAGCTCCTTAATTGTGGGCAGTGACTGGTTTTGCTCATCTGTCTCAGCCTCGCGCCTGGCACAGACAAGGGGATTGGGACATACTCCTGGAATGTTTACTTTGAGTGCACCTTTAGTGCCAAGGATGCCTGCTGGGCCAGGGTCCCTTTGGGCACATGAGGGAGTAAGGTCAGTAGCACATAGACACTTATGAAGATACCAGTGATTTGGCTCACTAGAGATCACTGTGCAAAGAGAAAGACTACCTAGCCAGCTCCGACACTCTGACTCTCATCTAACGTTCGAAAAATGGTGTAGCAAGCATTCCATCAAATCAAGCAGGAAACTGTCCTGACTGATGGTTCCCTTGTCAGTTAGCAGGGTGGCCCCTCCTGGGTCCTCAGGGTCTCAGCAGCAGCAGTGCCCACAGGGCCCATCCCCCTTCTGTCCCCAGCCATGTGCAGACACCCCACGGAAGGCCTCGAGCATGGACCCTTCTCCCAGGAAGAATGGGAAAGACATTAGAAAACAGTCTGGGTACAGAGGAATATGCTTGAGGGCCTCTCAGAAGAGATTGGATTGGACATGAAGTGGTGTTGGGAGGAGGTATCCAGTGGGAACTGAACGAGGTAAGACTAGACACCATGAACCAGGTAGCTGGTACAGACCACAGGAACCCATGCATGTTACCCTGAAACAGCAGTGCCCAGTGGGACAGGGACAACTTTGTGACTGGAGACAGACTGGGCCAGGTCAAGCAAAGTGCCCCTGTGCTCCAGCTGTCCTGGAAACTGAAGGGTGGCTGAGTAGACACTACCCCAATTGCCCCCTGCTTTCCTCTCTGAGGCAACAGGAACTGCTCCTCGTGGCTGCTGGGAATGACAAATTGTGCCACCACTCTGGAGGACAGTGTGGCCATTTCTTATAAAGTAATCCTCTGACCCCATGCCCCAGCACTTGCACTCTGTGGGTACAAAGGTGCCACCAGGTGTGTGATGGTGACTGCAGAGAAGACTGTGCCTGTCTGGAAATAAGGGTAGATGGGAGCGCTGTATACATTCTGCCCCTCCTTCTGTGAACCTGAAACTGCCCTAAAACTACAGACAGTAAGGTGTCCTGTCCAGACGGCAGTGTAGGCAGACATGGCTCACCACTTCGAACAACCACATCCTAAAGACACAGATTGGTCTGGTCTCTCTCCCAGGTGGTGGATAAAATTTCAGGAGACATATCTCAGAAGAAATATTAGAAAATGTGAAGTCAACTATTCCCAAATTACTGTATGGTTTCAATCCTGCCCACTGCAGAATCCTAACTGGTCAGTTTTACACATTGTTTTGAATTCAACAATGCGGTTTGGGTCTTTCAAATTTAGAATGTGCTCCCTTACTGAGCTGTGAAGAACAGCCCAATTTTAGGGCCTACCTGGTTTCAAGCTCAGCTCTGGAACTTTCTACTTCTGGGGTCTTCAGCAAAGTGCTAACCATCTCAGCCTCAGTTTCCTCATCTGTATAATAATGCTAAGACCAAACAATTTGTGTGAGGATAAATTAATTAATTAAGGAACAATGCTCAGCACAGTAGCTGGCAGTAAAAGTCGGCTGTTCCAATTATGCAACTAAAAGGGAAAATGTAAGCCCTAAATCAAACAGAACAAACCACCTCACCCCCAAAGGCAAACCACAGACTGAATCTAAGTGACTTTGCCAAGGAGCTGTATTGATTTATCCTGAATGCTAATTGAGTGTGCTTCTGCATTTGTTTCCAGTTGCAGTGGAATTTCTTTTAGTGAAATAAGATTATTACTTTTCAATCACTTCATATCCTGTTTTATGATCACATCTACGTGACTGTTACTGTCATTTTGTAATCCTAAGTACTGTGTTTTGGAACTAAGAGTCTAGGAGGGTGATGGGTGGGGTGGGTACTATTTATCCCAAGACACACAGAATTCTTGGAACAAGGTCCTCAGCAAGATGAACTGGTGACAGCTGTCCTTCGGAAGTTATTGAAATCCAGGGCTCCTTCAGCTCTCTGTGTCTGACTGGGGAACAGGAATGTGGAGCATGGAAACATTGGAGACATCATCACTTTGGATCATGATGTCCACGTGTACTTTAAGATACAATTTATGTATCGTCTGGTGACACTGTTCTCCTGTGCCACCTCCCCTGCATAAACATCCTTGTTCCCTTTTACCAAGATGGGTGATGTACACATCATCAGTCAGATCCCATGGCATTGCCTCTGCGTGTGCAGTTCCATACTCCAAAGAGCTCAGTGTGAGCAGTATTTTCTATGTCCTGACCCTAGAGAAGAAAGGCCACTCATCAGAGATTGAAGGAATTGGCTTAAGCATTCTGGAGGAACTCTGGGAAAAGAGGCCAAAAGGCCTCTGGGCATGTCAGATGGACCAAGAAACTGTTGAGCTAATACTCATGAGAGGATTCTCAAGACCATTGACTTTGCTTAACTTTATCCCCTGCTTGCCAGAAAGACCTTTTTTCTTGAACAGGTTTTTGTAGTGAAGGGAACAATAGAAGTCTTCTGTTCCTTGTGGCCATTGGTCCTCATTAATCCCTAAGCATCTGACATTCATGTGCATGTAGCCTTGGCACCTTCTCTAAATCTCTCTCATTGTAGACCTGCTGCTCTTTGGTGTGAGATGTAAGACATGAGACTGTACAGGAATATTTCTCTTTTTATAAATATATTTTATTGATTATGCTATTATAGTTGTCCCATTTTTTCCACCTTTATTCCCCTCTGCCCTGTACCTCCCCTCCCACCCACATCCCTCACCCCTTAGTTCACGTCCATGTGTCGTATGCAGAAGTTCTTTGGCTTCTACGTTTCTTATACTATACTTAACTTCCATCCTGTCTATTTTGTACCTACCATTTATGCTTCTTATTCCCTGTACCTTTTCCCCCATTCCCTTCCTCCCCCTCCCTGCTGATATCCCTTCATGTGATCTCCATTGCTTTTATTCTATTCCTGTTCTAGTTGCTTACTTCGTTTATTTTTGGTTTTGTTTTATTAGGTTCACTTGTTGATAGTTGTGAGTTTGCTGTCATTTTACTGTTCATATTTTTGATCTTCTTATGTTCCCTAGATAATTCCCTCTAACATTTCATACAATAAGGGCTTGCTGATGAAAAACTCCTTTAACTTGACTTTATCTGGGAAGTGCTTTATCTGCCCTTCCATTCTAAATGATAGCTTTGCTGAATAGAGTTTCTTGGAGGTAGGACCTTGCCTTTCATGACTTTGAATACCTTTTTCCAGCCCCTTCTTGCCTGTAAGGTTTCTTTTGAGATATCAGCTGATAGTTTTATGGGAACTCCTTCATAGTAACAGCCTCCTTTTCTCTTGCTGCTTTGAAGATTCTCTCCTTGTCTTTCATCTTGGGTTATGTAATTATTATGAGCCTTGGTGTGTGCAGTTTTGGCTCCAACTTCTTTGAGACCCGTGAGCTTCCTGGACTTCCTGAAAGTCCATTTCCTTTGCCTGATTGGGGAAGTTCTCCTCCATTCTTTTTTCACATACCTTTCATTTCTTGGTCTTCCTCTTCTCCTTCTGGCACCCCTCTGATTCTGATGTTGGAATGTTGAAAGTTGTCCTGGAGGTTCCTAAGCTTTTCTTCATCTTTTTGTATTCTTCTTTCTTCATTCTGTTGTGGTTGAATGCCTATTTCTCCCTTCTGCTCCAAAGCATTGATTTGAGTCCCAGTTTCCTTCCCTTCACTGTTGGTTCCTTGTATATTTTTTTTATTTCACTTTTCATAGCCTTCACTTTGTCCTCTATTTTGTGACTATACTCATCCATTTCTGTGAGCATCCTGATTACCAGTATTTTGAACTCTGCATCTGACAAGTTGGCTATTTCTTCATTGCTCAGTTGTGTTTTTTCTTGAGCTTCAGTCATTTCTTTCATTTGGGCCTTATTATTTTGTCTCCACACCCCTGTTCTGTAGCAAGGGGCAGAGCCTTAGGTATTCAGTGGGGTGGGGCAACCCAGAGTGCTGCATTGTGCCATTGTCAGTTGGGGAGGGTTCCAAGAGGGAGCAATGCCACTTACTCAGCTCTCAGACTGCTTTCAGTCCCTTTCTCCCCTACCAACAAGCAAATTAGGTCCTTCTGGTACTGATTCCCAGGTGGGTGGTATTGTGTAGCTCTAGGTTCCTGTGGGTCTCCCCAACAAACTCTCCTGTGAGGCTGGGAGTCTCCCACCACCACAACCCCCACTGGTTTTTCTAGTCAGGGGTTTTGAGGCTTTATTTCCCAGTGCTGGAACCCTGGGTTGCATGGTCTGTCTCGCTCCCCAGTTCCTCCTCCACTGTAGCCACACACAAATGTGGGACCACCAGGCCTGCCATCCACACCTTGCGGGATCCTCCAGCTGCCACATTGCCGAGTGTCCTCTCTGCCCCAGCTGCCCATCTTCACCCCTCCTACCCATCTGAATGAATGAATTTTTCTTTAACTCCTGGGTTGTTAGACTTCCATGCAATTCAATTTTCTAACAGTTATAGTTGTTTCTTGTTTACAAATCTGTTGTTGTCCTTCTTTTGGTAATGTAAGGAGGCACAGTGTGCCTACCTACACCTCCATCTTGACTGGAAGGCTTGTACGGGAATATTTCTTACCCAACATTGCCCAGTGCACAGGTATTGATCAATAAAG